TTTTAAGGGGGGGCGGCGCAAGGCTAGAACCAACTATAGCTACTTTAAGCAAACCCATCATTAGTTCTCCCCTACAGTGTGTAGAGAAATTGTATTTTGAGTTGACAACATTGGACCAGAACTCCAAGCTGCAAAGCAGGTCTAGACATGGATGATTAGAGGTGACCTTCACTTCAAACTGGATTGTTTAGTTGTTTGTTTGGTTCCCTGCCCTCTTTCAATGGATCAGCTCAGACTTTAAGGCCACAGGGGACCACTGCCATGTTGTCATACCTCCCTTGTAACCGTCCATGCAGTTTCCCTAATTAATGCCTGCTTAAACTAGAGAGGACTTTTCAGAAAAAGACCCAAGAGATTTCAGATTTCCAGTGATAGGGAATCCACCACAGACCTTGGGGAGCTGTTCCAAACAGTTATTTACCCTCCTGTTAAAAATCTGCACCTTATGTTTTAGTCTGAATTTGTAACACTACAGCTTCCAGCCATCGACTCTTGTTAGACCTTTGTCTGCCAGAGTGAAGAGCCCTCTATCAAGACAGCTGGTCAAAAGGTCTCCAACAGAGCAACTGTTTGGTTAAATCAGCATTTTCCAACCAAACAAGCATCTCACAGGAATGTATCACCAGTTTCGGTGAAAGAACGCTCAAACAAAGTATTTTTATCATGCACATTTAGATTAGACCTGCAAGATGAAGGGAAGCTCTTCAACTAGATAATTTACCTATTTCCTAAACAGAAATTCCACTGGTCATTTTGATTTTTGTTCCAAGTCAGGCTAAAAGGAAGTTTCGATCCTCTCTACAGATGAGACTTCTCTTCCCCATGGAGATACTTATCAACTGATCAAGTTACCCCTTCACCACCTCTTTCACAAGCTAAATACACCGTGCTCCTCCAGTCCAGCTTAACAGTTTCTAGCACAACGTAGAATCTTTAATAAAGACTTTATTGAAGAATTCAGTACAGGTTACATAAAACATGCCTTTGCAAACAGCTTGGTGACAGACAATAGATATAAAAGCTAGAAGGGAGCAATCCTGGAGTTCTGATCCAACTGTAAAAAATGATAGACATTTAGATCTGCAGCCCTTTTAGGGGGTTACAGCTTCTCCTAGTTCAGTCCCCTCCCTGTCATGAAACAGCTCTTTAGGGTTCCAATGTTTTGGATTCCCTACAAGGGTCCTCAACAGCTAGGACAGGAAATACCCCATGCCATGTGCTGCTTTGAGGGGGCTGTGCATGACTAGGAGGCTAAAGAGACAGTCCTGGGAGCTTCCAAATGCAGACAGGATGGAGATCTCTTCTGAGAAGAGTTTGGGAAGGAGAGATCAGCCAGGGCAGATTGAACAAGGGATATAGGCCAGTGGCACAATGGGTTCACTCTGCAGCCAGAGAAGAGTGGTGAGGGGCAGAGCGTGGCAGCTTGGGTAGTCTCTTCCACACACTGATCTGCAGCGCTAGAGACAAAGGGATAATTTCACCGTCGGGGCATCAGTTCAGGCACCAAATCCAATGCAGCCACCTCTCAGGATAGGCATATCTGCTGCTTGTCCCTCCCAGCTCCCCCAGTGTACATCCTTCCCAGGTGAGCTGCCATCCCGCCCCACTAGGGTGACCAGAGAGCAAGTGTCAAAAATTGGAACACTATTTTTTCCTGGGTGGGGAGGGGATAGTCGCATATATAGACAAAGCCTCTAATATTGGGATGTCTGGTGACCCTACACCCCACTCATTCACACAGCATCACTGCCACCCCAGCCTGCTCTTCATCACATGCTAGGAAGACCCCAGCCCCTCCTTAGCCTGTGTAGAGGTGGACCATGCAGGCCAGGTACCCACCAGTGAGCTGGAACTGTGCATCCCAGGAATCCACCCACAGATCCCCTCCCAGGAATCCGCCTCACCCCATCCCACATCTTCAGGGGGGAGCCTCAGTGTGCTGGCTGGGAACTAAGTTAAGTATTAGGGACCCTAACAAGGGCGTTTTGCCATGCACAGCTCTGCCTAGTCACTTGCATCCCCATAAAGGCAGGAGAGCTGCCAGCTCCTCCATCCACATCAGCATCCCTGCAATGTTGGAGAGCAATACCAGTGCAACTCTTCCATACAGGCCTATTCCAGCCCAGCCCACAGCCCCTGGAAGAGTGCCAGGCAGTATTCGACCATCACTCTCTGCGGTAAGAGTGCACCTCCAGCAGCACAGCACCCCCTAGTGCCAGGCACTGATTGGGAGCACACAGCACCCCCCACAGCACAGCACCTCTTAGCATCACACAGGGGTCAGCACAGACTCAGGTGAAAACACCCACACTGAGCCCCCAGCAACACAGCACCCCCTAGTGGCACATTGGCACCACCATTGACTCCTAAAAAGAACAGGAGTACTTGTGGCACCTTAAAGACTAACAAATTTATTAGAGCATAAGCTTTCGTGGACTACAGCCCATTTCTTTGGATGCACACTGCTTCCTAGACACCATCCTGGCACATGGGTCAGGTTGCACACAGTCACCTACCCAAGGACCAACCCACCACTACTCTGCTTAGGCCCCAGGCTCTGTCAGGAGCCACATCATGGAGCCCCAGACCTGAAGGGGCCATTAAGTCATCTCAGCTGAGCCCAGTGAACTCTGTAAGGCAACATTTAGGCCCACAATTGAATTCAGACCCTAAAGCAGGAAAACCCAGATCCCCTCAGGACTCCTCATCTGCCCAGCCCCAGCTCAGCCATAGGGCTCACTTACTAGATGCATACAGGAGTCTCTTGCCATTGTCCACAGCCCTCGCTGATCCACACTGCTCATCTGCTAGATGCTGGCGAGAGAAAGGACACGGGTGAGGCCCAACACCCCACTGAGCTTATGGGTCTCTCCCCCAGCTTCCACCTATTCTACGCAGACTGTCCCATACAGCTATCAGCTCAGGGTGTGGGGTTTAGAAAAAGCATATACATAGGGACAAGTCCTAGGGCAGATGCAGTTAATGTAGTATAAAGGCCTTATCCTGGAATAGCTTGTTCCCCTTCCTGGATGATAGTAAATGATACCAGCATGAAGCACCTTTCTACTCTGCATCCACACTAGGAGAGGCCTTGTGACTAAGAGCACTGGACTGAGACCCAGGACACCTGGATTCTATTCCAGCTCTGCTAGGGGACCTTGGGCAAGTCACTTTGCCTTCTGGTGCCTCAATTTCCTCAGCTGTAAAATGGGGAGGGGGACATGGACCTCCTTTGTGAAGCACTGATGAAGAGCACAAGAGGGCAGGGTCAGAGGTTTAGGCAGTACAGCAATAGGGGCACAGAGCATTTTGGTCCCCACAGAGGAGCAAACCCAGGACACTGCCCCAGGCTCCTTGTTAACTCCAGAGTTTAATCCCCCAAAGCCTGAGCCGCTGGCCCTGAGAAGGGGCTGAGTTAGGTCTGTTAGGAACTCCATCCCCTTGGGTTGCCAGGGGATTTCAGAACAGGAAAGGACACAGGGGGAGCCATGTCTCAGGAACCCCCGACCAAGAAGCCAGCTCAAAGTCATGACACAGGATCTACCTCGGCCTCTGTAGCAGCCCCCCCAGAGTTCAAGCCAATTGCAGCATCAATATGGATTTTAAGCAGGGGGGAGGGGGATGGTTCTGTGGCAGGCAGAGGAGCCTCACCTGAGGCCCCTTGCCAGCAGGGCTGGTGTGCCCAGCAGCCCCTGCAGGCTGTTGGAGATGGACCCAGTACTCCACTGAGTCCTGGGGCCCCTGAGTCGCTGGGTCCCATGGAACTACTGCCTCCTCCCTGCGGGCGCCCTGGGGGTAGAGGCAGATGGGAGCAGGGTTAGTGGCAGCCTGGCACACCTCTCAAGCCTCCCACACAGCCAAAAGCACACTACAGGCCCCTCCCCATCACACTACAGACCCTCTGATCCTGCCCCATAGGACTCTGCACAGCCCACTCCCTGCCTCAAACAAATTCTGCCATCCCAGACCAGTCCCTTCCCCTACCCCAACTCAGCACAGCCTGCTCCCTCCAGCCAGATATTTCCTTGTGCTGCCACCAGTGCCCCCCCCTTAAAATCCTGACCATTCACTCCAGTGCAAACTGCTAGATCCATGACCCCTGCTGCCCTTAACCCCGCACCCCAGACGGCTTCCCACCAACTGTGCTCCCAGCACTGCTGCACCCATCCCCTTCCAACCACCCCCACCCCCCCAGCCAGAACCTACCCCTCCACTACACCCCACAGCCAGACACACTCCCCTGCTGCTCCAGGACTAGCAGGATCTCCCCCACCCCACAAATTCCCCTGCAGTGAATTCCTCCCGAGCTGTATCCAGCCAGGCATGGAATGGATACCCCGCCAGCTTGGCTGGGCTGCTCCAGAACTGCCAGGCTGGCTTGGTCTGGCTCAGATCTCGTCTCCTCTTCATCCGTTATGGTGGTCCAGGAGGACAGGACAGGGGGCTCCTTGGACAAGCATCTCTTGGGCGGAGCAGGGATTACACATGGGGGTCTCTTCAGCACCTTGCCCTTGGCAGCTTGCCATTCTGCCAGCTGAGCCCTGGGGGGGGGAAGAGCGGGTCAAGGGGTGAGTGCCCACCCGAAACACTTCCCACCTTCCAGGAAGAGGGGTGGTGTTACAGTAAGACATCTCCCTAGACACAGACCCCCTTAATCCCACCCCTCTGTTTGAGACGCAAGCCTCAGCAAAGAAGAGCACAGGACATTTTGGGGGGAGGCTGCATCTCAGGAGCCCTGTGACCAAGATACTCTGAATTTAGGCCAAGAGACCTATTCCACCCTGCAAAGCTGCACCCCAAATTTCAAGCAAATGGCACCACAAGATGGCCTTGGAGAGGACTGAAATATCTGTGGTTTTGCCACAGAGGTTGAAGATCTAGACTGCCCGCAAAGCACCGCTGCCCTAGTGCAAGCTGGAGGTCTACAGGAGCTCTCTGAACCCAACTGTTAGTTTGAGAGGTACATGGAGGAACTGGACCCAGCTGGACTCAGTGGGAGGACAATGCATTAGGCCGAGACTCAGGATATGCCATCGCTGAAGGGGTCAATAGCAGGGCCCCCCCCCTTTGCTGTCAAACCTGCCCCTCTGGCAAGGGGATCATGACTGCTGCCAAGAGGAGCCCCCCCACATTACCCCCACACTCCTGTGTTGGGCAGAAGGGCCTTGGTGCCAGTGCAGGATGAAGCAGGCAGCACCCCACTCACCTCCTGGCATTGACAGCTGGTTTGACCACAGCAAGCTTGTGCCTGCTGGTGGGTTTGGGCTCCCAGGCAGCAGGACGGGGAGGCTCAAACGGCATCACTGCCCTGGGCGAGGGGATGGGTCTCACTCTACCAAGAGCTGGCTTGGTTGGAGGCAGCAGGATCCTGCTGCCCCTGAGCTGGGTGTGGTCCATGGCACGGCCTGTTTTCAGGGTAGCGCTAGCCAGCCAGGCCCCTGCAGAAGCCCTGCGGGAGGTGATGGTGTTGGGAGAGTGCACCACAGGCTGCCAGGCAACACCCAGACTGGCCTCTGCAGGCAGGTTCCGGCGGAAGGAGCAGGTCTTGGAGGGCACAAGCCTGCCCAGGTAATAGCCCAGGGGAGATTTCCTGGGCACCAAGGTGAAGCCGAGGCCCAGCCGCTCGGCAATGCTCTGCTTCTCCTTCTGGCTCCTCAAGTGCTTCCTGAGACACGCCGACCTCTCCCTCGGCTCGCCAATTCTGAGCGGGGTGCTGGGATCTTCCCACCAGCTGCCAGCACCAGCCATGGCCTTAAGTGGCATGATCCTGGAAAGTGGGAAGCTGTAGCGGGCTGTGGCATCTCTCTGGGTCTGGAAAACAAGAGGGGGACCCATCTCAGAGCCTAACCATTCACGCTCAGGGCTGGTTCAATGGGACGGCCCTGGATGGTGCATCAGCCACTGGGATAGAACCCAGTACCTCTGGTTCTAGAGCAGTGATACTCTGAGGCTCATGAAAATCCCAGGTGACACTGGGCCAACTGTGCATTAAGGAAAGAAATTCCCCATTGCCCCCAGCTGCATGGGCTGTCCGGGGAGACTCCCAAACCATAGCCACATCACACACATGGGTAGCAAACCGCATGGAGTGGCGCAACCGCTGGGAACACACACACACACACACACACACACACACACTATTTGCTGTGTGGTTTTGTTCATGGGCAGTTCTAGACAAAGCAAAAATTAATTTGACTCAATCAAAAAAAATTCTACTTTTGTTAAGTTTTTGCCAAAAAGTAAAAAATTAATTTGGGTCAAATAACTGGTTTCATTTTCAGCTATTTCTACCTGTTCAGTTTTTTTAAAAACATTCAAGAAAATGTTGAAGTGAAAAAGTTGGGAGTATGGGTTGAAATATTTTGGGGGGTTTGAATATTTTTGGGGTTCCTCCACCATCCAAAAAACAATTTGCCAAACCAGCATGAATTTGCTAAACATTCTGGTGTTGCCAAATCTACATTTTTCCACCCAAAGGGTTTTGGCCAAAAAAATCCCAAAACAAAAACCTCACCCCAACTCTGCTGGGAAGAAGTCTCCAGGCAAGCAAATGTCACAGTGCTGCAGTGAGGCAGGCAAGATCAAACCGGATTTCATAGTAGTATAGGGTTTGGAAGGTAAAGTCCAGTCCCCCCATGCAGAGGCACGGCCAATAAACCTAGGCCATCCCTGACAGATGTTTATCCAACCTAGTCTTAAAACCAGGAGCACCACCAGCTTTTCTGCCGCCCTAGGTGGCGAAAGGTCCCACCCCGAAATGCCACCCCCCCACAGAGGCAGCGGAAGGTCCCGCTGCCAAAATACCGCCACAGTCGCCACCCCCCAAATTGTAGTGCCCTAGGCGACCACCTAGGTCACCTAATGGGTTGTGCCGGCCCTGCTTAAAACCCTCCCATGCGGGGGGGGGGGGGGGGGAGGACAGCCTCCCTTGGATGCCTGCCCCAGAGCTTAACTGCCCTTAGAGTTAGAGTGTCCTTTTGCAGCAGGCCACAGCCCAACAAATATACTTTCCTCTGTTTCCCTTCTCATGGACTCCACTTCAGGCTCTCTTGCTTCAATGCCCTTCCTTGGGGGCAGTTTGTTATTGAACCCATAGTGCATATCAGTCTATAAGAAGAGTCCCAAACAGGCCATTTCCCATAACTGGTGGACATGGTCCATAAAATCCTGCTCTTCCGAGCAGGCAACCACACCAGCCTTGCTGCTGGGAGTCCTTCCACACCGTACTCCCATGTCTTCTGCCACACCTGGGCTCCTTGTGGGTCTTCTCTCTACCTACCAGGATGGTCACCCCAGGCCTTCCAGCTGGAGTACAATCCTGCTCTTCCCACTGGGAACCCCCCAGGCTCTCCATTGGGAGATCATACCTGCCCCCACTCTCCCAGCCTTCTCACTAGTTCCCCAGGTCCAGTTTTCTGGAGAGCCCCTCCGCTGCTCCCCTGCCTTTGCCCCCAGCTTGGGCTCTCCAGTTTAGAACCAGCAGGCAACTCCCTCTGCTGCGCCTCCTCCAGCCTCAGCCCTGCTCTGTCCACAAACCCCCCCTCTTGCTGCCCTCCTTGCCTTCAACCATCCCCAGGAAACACCTTCTGGCTCAAGCAGCACTCCCCTGTCCCTGCTCCTGACTGACTATCTCACCAGGTATCCTGACTGACCCCAAGGTCCCTCTTGCATTGGAACGCCGATTCTCCATTACCCTCTCCGGCCCCAGGTGCTGCCCTGCCCTCTTAAGTGGTCCCATGGGAGCACCTTTTCTGGGCCAGGGGAACTGGATCTGTGACACTAGCTTAAACACCCAGTGCTGCAAACCCATCCTCTTGGCCTGCCCTCAGTGGAGAACAATTGAGCCCCATCCTCTTTATAACAACCTTGTACTCCTCTGAAGACTTGGGTCCCCCTCAATCTGCTCTTCCTTAGGCTAAACATGTCCAGTTCTTTCAACCTGTCCAGATAGGACAGTTGTTCTAAGCCTTGAGCATTATTTTTACAGTTCTGCTCCACGCTCGAATTTTCTTGAAGTGTAGCACCCAGAATTGGATGCAGGACTCCAGCTGAGGCCTCATCGTGCCTAGTGAGCAGAATAATTACCTCCTGTGTTTTACATGCACCACTTGAGTTAATACACCCCAGCCTGATGCTGCAGCACAGGACCCTAGCATCAGCTGGTATAACTGTGTTCTGGCCTCACCCACCTGTCACAGCATGCACATCACCCAGCCCATTGGCAGCCTCTCACACTACAGGCAGCCCAACGGGCAACTTACCATTTCCCTCTGCAGCTTCCAAGACCTGTGACTGGTGGCCAATACCCAATCACTGGCTTTGGGAAGAGAAGAGCCACATTAGCTTAAGCCATGGCCCTGAAGCAGCAGCAGCTACAGGAATACAGCCATGGGGCTTGGAACAACCTCATTAGTTAACAGCCAGCTGTACGCATAAGGTCAGTGTTAACTACCTTACACCCACAGACACCTGATTTTCACAGCTGCTGAGCACTCACAGTGATAGATTGGGTCAGGGGTACAATGTGTCTTACCCTCCTCCCCTAGGATCCTACAAGGGAGACACCCACACTCTAGGAGCCACAGAGGTAAGGCAGCTACCTACCTCTGGGAGAAGAGGAGGGGATAGTAGCTGGAGATACATGTGTGTTTGCCAGAGGACCTAGGATAGAGGGATCAAGGTTTGTAAAGAGATGCATGGGGAGGGGGGGTTGGGAAAGAGAAATCAGGCTTTGTATGAGGCTGGTGGGAATGCACAGGCTGGGATAGGAGAGCAGGAGGAATCAATTTTCAGGGGGCCAACCTCAAGGGTCTTCAAATTGCTCTGCCAGAGCCCTCCAGGATCCATTAGCTGCTCAGGAAGGTTTTATCTCAGGCCTATTTGCAGCCAATCTAGCTGGCACAAGAAGCCACCCAGGGATATGTGGGCACCCCACAACACACAGCAACAGTTTCCTACAAAGTGGCCCACCCAAAGGATGCTGATGTCTCCCCGCAATGCATTCCACTTCCACCAATGCAGCATGAGCACAGTGCACTAACATAAATAGCCCAGGGCAAACACATTTCCCCACTAGCTTTGCAGGTGGCACCACACAAACCAATCTTTCCCCTGATGACTCTCTAGCACACAGAAGGGAGGCACCAAGCACTTTACATTAAGCAGGGCTCACAATATCCTGCATCATGTAGACAGGAGAGGGGACTAGCCTCAGGTGACAAAAATCAAAGGTAGGGCAATCTCTATGATTTGTTCCCTCTCCCCTATGTTAGGAAAAGCTGCCTTGCACCCCAGCTAGCTACACTTTCTTTTGTAATAGAAAGGAGCCCTCAAAGCAGAGCAAAGAAACAGTTAGTAAGTTCCTTACAAGTCCAGATAAACAAACACACACGCACACATCCCACCCTCTCTGAACAAGTCATCTAGTGAACCAGTGCTACAAAACCAGAATACCCTAAACAAGCTCAAACAACCAACTAACCCCAACAATCAAAACACTAGGACCTTCAACACAGACAGGCTCCTTACCATACTAGCACCCTCTCAACTGCCTCAGTCACACCTACCCCAAACTCCTGCTATTTCTCTAACCATCCAGCCAATCAGCATCAGGATGGTATCCTTTGGTCAACAGGGATTTGAGGACCTATCCAGCTATCCCAACACGACATTGGCTGGGTAGCTAGCTCCACCCCTTGGGAAGGAGGGGTCTGGCAAGGCAATTCCACATTAGATAAAGGGGGCATGAAGTGTCTAACTCTCCCTGGTTTCTCTGGGGGATGTTTGGAATAATCCTGGTTTTCTGGGTCTAGTATTAGAGGGGGAACGTAACTAAGGTTTCTTAGGTAGAATTAAAATGCTGATCTCTCTGGCCTAGCATATGAGTGGGCAAGCTTTCTGTGGGGCCATAGGCCCATCCACCCCATTGCCCGCATCTCAGATACTACTCCACCTCCAGGGGAAGCAGATGGAGCAGGTCTGTGATTTTGAAATCTTTGGGTGTAAGTCTAGACCCTGCAGCAGGCAGCACTTTGTTCCAAATGGGCTGAGTTCTGTATTAGTTTCTGTAGATCTTTCAGTGACTAGGATGTTGGATGGGGACTCAGGATGCCTGGGTTCTATTCCCAGCTCTGCCACTGAGCTATGGGGTAACTCTTCCCCTCTCATCCTTTGACTATTTCAATTGTAAACTCTCTGGGGCAGACTGTTTTTCACTGCGTGTCTCCAGCACCTGGCACAATGGGGCCCGGACCTTGATTGGTTCCTCTTGGTTCCATTGTAGAAAATAAAATCCACAAGCTATATGAACGGTCCCATCTCCTTGCCAAAGGCAGCATGTTTCAGAGATCTCTAGCAAGCTGGAAAGCTTTGATCAGTGCACTCTGCAGCCTCTGAACTCAAGTAGCTGCAAAATAGGCATGAACCAGCTCTAGCTCAAGGATGAGGACTCCTGAGTTCCAATCCTGGTTCTCTACCCAACTCCCTCTGTGAGCAGCAGTGACACACACCCATATGCCTCAGATTTCTGTGTGAAACAGTGAGAGGGGCCTTGCAAATTAAAGCTAGATGAAGGCTAATTGGTTTGCTCTGGCCAGTCCAGGTGCAAATGATCCCAAATGCATAAGCTCCCATCGCTTGGGGAATATTATCCCCCACATTGTGCTGCTAAGCAAGTGTACGCTTGCTTAGCAGCACAAAATAGCCCTAGGGGGATCTACTGCATTTACCCATTTGGGTACTTAAAGAGTTAACCTAACCCACTCCTGAGCCTAGTTACAGGATCTCTCATCTAACTTTCCTCCAGCCCCTTAAATGATCTGTGCCATTCTCCTCCAACCGCCTCTCCTGGGCACAGAGAAGCACTACCTGCATCTAAGGAGACTCTAGTTGGCTCCTTGCTGTTCCAGTGCCATGATCCAACTGTAACCAACTGCTGTAGGGAGATGGGGTATTACGGCACAAGGGTGAGGGGCATGGCTGCAAGGTTAGTTTCAGTCCTGGATCAGAACAAAGAAACCTGCCACTATGGATCTGAACATGAATCAAAGTCTCTGTCTCTCCCCATCAGGAAAAGGGCCGCTAGTATGGGAAGAGAAGGGTGGGGCTAGGCTGCTTCTGCCCCCTACATGTTAAACTAAAATGCTTTCCCTAGCCAATACGACCTGCAAGAGTAACAGCCCAGTAACACAATCACAGCTGCAGCTTGGTTGGTGCATTCAGGCCTCCTGCTTTGGCCCACTGCATTCAAATGGGGTGCATCTCCTTTGTGATGGATTGCAAATATAATAGGGGTGCTGAGCATGTACCCTGCAGGGAGCTGGGCATCCGGGGAAATCAAGCTCTGTTCTCAGCTGGCATTTCTGCCCTGTCCAGCCTAATGCCGTTTGGTAAAGGGTAGAGGGAAAAGCTGCTACTGCTGCCTCCTGCATTAACAGATGACCCCATGGCATCCTTCATGCTTAGCTGCCCTGCCACAGCCCAGGACTTCCACATACTATGGGGCAGTGATAACTAGTTGAGTAGGACTGCCCTTGTTACTGCTGGGTCATCCTGTCAGCACAGCATAGGAGGAGCCCAGGAGCAGCTTCTGGAGTGGAGCTGCTGTTCAGTACAGAAGTTAAGGTCCCTGAGTGCAACTGAAATGGCACAAGGGAGAGGAATTTTGCCCTCAAGTTAATTCTCTGCTGCTGGGGGAAAGTTGCCATCTCCTGAGGTCCCATACAATTCCAACCTACCCCAGCATGGGACAACTTAAAATGAAAGGGCAGCCCACTGTACTCAGCCCCAGCCTATTGGGAAGAGGGGTGCACAGACAACATCCATCCTCTGGCAAGCTGGGAAGCCAGCACCCTAACCACAAGAGCAGCCCATTAAGAATGAAGTAGTCTCAAGGGGGATCCTTCCTCCATACCCTTCTCCCTGCTTGGGGCTGCAGGTACTTGATCCCCCACCTCTGGCCCTTTTCATCTGATCCCTACCCCCAGCCAGGGTCAGAAAGCCTCAGACTTTCCTGAGTGGATTCTCCACTAGAGGTGGGGTGGGGGTCAGCTTGAGGCTAAAAAAGGCTTCCATCTGCCATAGTTCTCAGCCTGCTAGAGGGAAAGTTAAGAGCTATAGAGCAACTCCTGAGCTAGCCCAATGTTTTAAAATGCTGACCCAGAAGGGGTGGAATTATCACCACTGCAAATACAGGGAAACAGGGTACAGAGGGGACATGACTATTCACAGAGCAGCACTAGCCAAGCTGGCCATGGAACCCAAGAGTCCTGCAAACCCACAGCTCACCCAGCAGCTGCTGGTGCTACTTTGAAGTCTGCTGCAGACCCTAACACTCAGAAGGAGCCTATGATTTGTCTGAAGGCTGCATTCCTGGCAAACCCCCTCCTTCCTCCAGAGGGAGTTGGTACTATGAGATTAAGGCACCAGCAGCCCCCACCAATCAGTTGAACCCACAGGAGACTGGACAGACCCAAGGACAAAAGATCAAAGGGTCTATACAAGTTAAGGCCAATGCACAGATGGAGAGGGGTTGACAATCCAAGTGTATCTTGGGGCTACTGTCCCCTGGCCCATTTACATCTAGATGTAGAGGCCTGGGAAGACATGGACCAGAGGGTACAATCCTACCCTCCCCAAGAAGGGGTCAAAGTAGATGGAACCATTTGATCTGGTGCAGGGCCTATCCCCCCAGGGTCAATGGCCAGGGAAGAAGAGGCGGCGACTCAAAGATAAGTGTGTATAACAGGGTTTATTGTAACAGATTTTAGTCACCCCACCATGGCAGCAACACCGCTGCTCCACATGGAGCCATGGAATAAGTTAGCAGCCCCAGGGGCCGAGTGTGGAATGTGGGGGCGGGGGGCGAGCCCCGCCAGGGAGTCCAGCCGGGCGGCCTACGAGCCGCAGGGTCCGGGCAGCCAGCGCGGATCAGACCCTGCCCGCTCAGTCGCGCTTCTTGTAGCTCTCCAGGTTGGTCAGGATCCAGCCCGACGGCACCATGAAGGCCAGGAAGAAGGCTCCCAGGCCGATGACGGTCTCCTGCGAAGGGGAGAAGAAGGCAGAGCTCAGGTGACAGGACACAGCAGCTGGGCCAGCAGGGGCCCTGTCCCCGCCCCCCAGGCACCGGGCGGGCTCCGCTGCTCCCCCCAGGGCTGGCGCTCGGCCGGGCTCTCCAGGGAGAGGCGATCCCAGGCCGCGGCCTCCGCGCTGCAGAGCGGGGCCAGCCCCGAGCCCGGCTCCCTTCTGCCGCGCCCCGGACCCCCCCTCACCAGCGGCCCCACGCGGCTCTCCGGCGGGTACGAGTGCAGGGCGCGAGCGGGCGGCGCGAGGCGGGGGCGGAGCAGCGCGCGGAGCACCGGGAACACGGACATAGCGGCAGCGGGTCCTTTCCAGGCAAGATGGCGGCCGGGTCGGAAGTGACGGCTGGAAAAGGGCTGGCTATAAAGGACGGGGACCGGAAGTGGCCTGGGTTGGCTCGATCAGTTTGTGGGGGTGACGTCACTTCAGGTGGAGGGGTCATGCGGGGAATAGCCCCGCCCAACAAATTGGTCCAAATCCCTCCAATGGCGTCGGATCCCTGAGTTCACGCCATGGTTGAGGTCCCCCCCCCGTCAATCCAGCGCTAGGGCTATCCCCCCACTGTATACCCCCCAAACCAATATGGGGTTCAGGGCATTCCCATACATGGTACAACTCCCCCAGACAGGGTCCCAGCACCCCCTGCACTACATGGCTCCTCCCCAGTCCCATGTGGGGACCAAGGTGCCCCCCAACCACAGGGACACCCCCCCATGTCAGCCAGGGGGCCATGGCACCCCCCACATGGACCCCCACCCCACTGGCTAACAGCAGGGCCAGGGATATTCCCCACACCCAACATAGTGCAGAGGCACAAAGCCCCATCACAGCACTGGGGGCCTCACACTGAACATGGGGCCCAGGATGCCCCGTCCCACTGCATACCATCCCCATCACAGCATTGGGGGACCCCTATGCCCAATGTTGCCCCCTGGCAGAGCCATAACTAGGGATTTTTGCGGCCGAGGCAAGGAACAAGGGCGGCACGTCCGGCTCTTTGTTGGCAATTCGGCGGCGGGTCCTTCCCTCCGAGAGGGACTGAGGGACCCACCACCGAATTGCCGCCGAAGAGCCGGATGTGCTGCCCCCTCCCTTGCGAATGACCGGTGGCAATTCGGCAGCGGGTCCCTCTCGGAGAGAAGGACTTGTTGCCAAATTGCCACTAAATTGCCACTGAAGGAAAGACTTTCTGCGCCCCTCGCCTTCTGCGCCCGAGGCAAGTGCCTCACTCGCCTCGCCCCTGGGGCAGCCGCCACCACCACACAACACCCCTCAGTCAGGGCCGGATTAACCTTTTGTGGGCCCCCATGGAGGCAATGGAGCATTGTGCGGGGAGGTCAGTCCCCAGAGCGAGGGGCCATCCAGAGCAATGGGGCATGGCATGGCATGGCATGGCATGGCATGGCATGGCATGGCGAGGCGGCCCTGCTCCACCCAATGTGAGGGCACTATTTACAAACCGGCAGTCGCCAGATGCACAGTAGCCTGCCCAGCCCTGTGCTGCCGGCATGCCCCTTCCCTTCGGGGGTGGGCATATGCCACACCACACAGCCCCCCCGCCCAACACCCCGATTCCTTATGACCAGAATCCCCCCAGACCCGCTATGCCCAGCGCCTCCCCAGATCCACCCACAAATGCAGAGCGCCTTGCACAACACCACCCCTGCCCTCAGCCCCACCACAACTGCCCAGCATCCCCCACAAAAGCCCCACTCCCTAGTGCCCCAACACACACAGATCCTCCCCGCCTCTTCACAGCCCAGCACCCCCCCTTACTCCCCACAGACCCGCTCCCCCAAGCCCTGCCTCCAGGCCGCACTCACCGACCCTGCCTGGGAGGCGACTGTGTTTGCCGGGCTGAGCCAACAGCGCAGCCAGGGCTGGTCCCAGGGCCGGGAATCACTCCAGCCCTTCAGGAGTGGCGCAATCAGCCAGGCCAGGACCTGCCCCGGCCGGGGTCCCTGGAGCTCAGCCAAGTCCTCCACACTGTTCCCCACACACACTCACCTGGCTGAGACTGAGAAGTGGGTGGGGCCAGGGGGCAGAGAGGAGTCCTTAGCCAGCTGGCGGGAAGGCTGAGAGGAGCAAGTGGTGGGCAGGGGGAGCCAGTGGGGTCTCAGGGTGCAGTGCAAGCAGAGCAGGCTAGGGCCCCTTCTGAGCATGGGCTCAGCTCCATGGAGCCATTGTAAACCCAGCACTGCTCTCAGTACTGTGGGGTTCTCCACATCCAGTATGAGTCCCTGGGACATCGCCCACTGCATGGTGCCCCCATCCTATCCCCACAGGGACCGTGGGGCTTCCTACTCTGCACGCTACCCCCTCACTCCAAACTGGGGTGGTGCCGCACGCACGCACGCACTCTGTTCTCACGGTGCTCCTGAAAATGTGCCCGATGCTCCATCATACCCAGGGGCATGGGGCAGTTCCCCACGTGGCATGATGCCTTCTATATGTTGGCATAGGGCTCAGACCCCCACAGCAGTCAGTTTCAGTGCACCCTCACACTGCCCAGTGCTAGGATCATGCTGTTACAGCAGACAAGTCAGCTCCCCCACATTACCTCATGAAGATCCTGACCGAATATGGCTACTCCTTCACCTCCACAGGTGGGGGCTCCTGGTGGACATGAGAGCGGATGGGTGGACGAGAGAGACATACAGTACTTGAGACCGGGACGGCCTTCTGGGTCTGGGGAGGTGTGGGGGGGGGCATTGGAGCTGCTGCAAGCAGGCAGGGTGCAATACCGCTTACTGCCACTGGGTGGGGTTCTGGTCCTTGCAGCACATGGGTTGCAGTGAGCAGAGTTCAGATTTCAGGGAAGCTATGGGGCAGCCCCAGAGCGGGAGAACATGGAAGTGGGGGAGAACTGCAGGAGTGGAGCCAGCACATACTTCCTGCTGCCTCCATTCCTGCAGCCCCAGCATACGGTTTGGGCCCCCACCAATGCTCTAGACTAACCCAGAGCGCAGCCCCCAGGGTTGGATTCTGGTCATGGGCACCTGGAGATATCAGAATTCAAGGCCTCTCCCAACACTTCTCAGGACACACTCCCATCCAAACCCCATCTTCCTGCCACTCTGCTGAGTCCTCACCTTCCTCCCAAGCTAAGATGGGAGCCCACGGGGCAGGTGGTTGGCCAGCCACTATCAGCTCTGATTGCACCATTGCTAAGTGTCCAGGATCCCTGCTGCATCCTTCACCCTGCTCCCTGACTGACCACGCCCTGGGCCCTGGCTCTGCAGCCAAGCGGGAGATTGTGTGAGACATCAAGGAGAACCTGCATTACATGGCTTTGGTCTTTGAGAATTAAAGGGACCTGGCCACCTCCTCCTCCTCTCTGAAGAAGAGCTACAGGCTGCCCGATGGCCAAGTCAGCATTAATGGGGATGAGTGCTTCTGTTACCTCTTCCAGCTCTCCTTCAGTAGTCAGGGGGCTGGGCTGGGCCACAGCTGGATGCAAAGGGTGGTTGGAGACACAGCTGTGGGCAGGGGTGAGCATTGTGCAACGTAAAGCCAGGTAGACCTACCATAAATGGACCAAGTCTTCTGAGTTGGCCCGTCCTTCCTGGGGGACAAGCTTCTCTGCTCCCAATTGCCAGGCTGGTTCTGCACAAAGCAACCTTCCTCTGTGGATCTCAAAGTGTTTTAACCAGTTCATGAAGGAGTCCTGGCTCCAACCCCCTGCTCTAACCACTAGACCTCGCTGCCCTCCAGACCTGGGGAGTAGAACCCAGGAGATTTAGCTCCCAGCCCCTCCTGCTCTAACCCACTAGGCCGCACTCCCCTCCCAGAGCTAGGATAGAACCCAGGAGTCCTGAGGGATCAGGTAAAGAGGCACTAAGTTGAAGGGCATTTTCTGGCCAGGAGTCTGATCGAAGCCATACACCGTCCCCTTTCTGCTCTCACACCCATCCCTGCCTGCCCCCTGGTGGGGAAAATTCAGTATCTATGAGTGGGGATGGCTCTTCCTCAGCAGTGGAAGGGTCAAAGCCTTCTAAGATGCAGCCAGTAAAGACCTTTTGGTAAGGAAACAAGACTATGACCCCTTTCATACACTATGGAAAGCCAGGGATCTCATCCTTAAGGAGCTTAAATGGGGCAGAAGGTACCTGTGATCTTCTATGGCCAAGGAGGTGCTGCTCCATGAGAGCCGTAAATATCAGGAAGCAGAAAGGATTTCAGCTAATGGTGCTGTGTCTTCTCCAAGTGGAGAGGCATTGGGTTGTGAGCCCTGGAGGCAGAACAGGTGCAAGCTCTCAGTCCTTCTATAAACAGGCTCCAATGGACTGTCCATCACTTGGGAGATTTTATCTCCAGATGGTGTCTGGGAGGTAGGACTCCCTGGGTTCTAGCCCCGGCTCTGTGTCGGATCCCCAGACACAATTTACTCCAAGTAGGAGTTATGGGCTTAAAATAGAGGAGCGACTGGGTAAAGTTCTCCAACCTGTGAGCTGCAGGAGGTCAGACTACATGACCACACTGGTTCCTTCTGGCCATGAACATCTATGACCCCTACCCTGCAGAGACAATATCTAACGGGTGAGACAGGAATGGAGTCACCCTATTCAGTCCTTGGCTTCTAGGCACCTATTGTATCATATGCAGGGCTTTGGGGCAACTAGCATGGGCTGGCTTGAAAAGGCTCCATGCCCAAATATTGCCCCACTGGGGCACAGAGACATTGATTTTCAGAAGGAGCATCTAGTCTGCTCTCCTGCATGACATAGACCAGAGATCCTCACCCAGTGATTCCTGCCTTCAGGCCGCGGCCCATTATTTATTTGTAATTTAATAGGCCTGTATAGCAGCCAGCACAACAGGGTCCTGGGCCATGACTGGGGCTCCTAGGCGCTACCACAATACACACAATAAAAATAAAGTATTGTGGCAATGCTAGTGCTGGCTGGGAACTGGGATTTTCAGCCCACGGGAAATTCAGACATCTTGGAAAAAATGTAATTCCAAATTGGACTGAAAAGCTGAAATTTTGAAATTTCCTGTGAAACAAAAATTCAAAAAAAGTAATTGATTTAGTTTTGACATTGGTATATTAAAATGTGAAACATTACTTTTAATATATATTATATAATAACACATGTATAACTATAGTATATTATCACTACAAAGCATTAAGATATGGAGTGGAGACTCCAGGAGCTCAGTCTGTTCAGTTTAAAGAGATGGTTGATGGGTGACTTGATCCTAGTCTGAAGTAGCTTCATGGGGAAGATAAATTTGAATACAGAGGGCTCTTCAGTTTATCAGACAACCGTCTGTCAGTATCCAATGGCTGGAAGTTGAGACTAGACAAATTCATGGGAAATGAGGTGTATATTTTTGACCGTGAGTGTAATTAACCCACTGGAACAACTTATCAAGGATCAGGGTGGATTCTCCATCACTGGCAATTT